CCTGGCTAAGGGGCTACTCACCATATCGAGTCCCCGCCTAGTGGACCGGACTAAGCACCCCTTGTCGGTTCCGTCTTGGGCCTCATCACACAGTCCATGACGTATATAAGGAAGATCCAGAAGACTTGGCGTACACGACAAGATGATGGATTCATGAAGGAATCTACCTCTTGTATGTAGCCGACTAGGATCTTGTACCCTAGGGCCCCGATATCTTGTATAAACCTAGAGGTCATGCTCATAGATACATCATACAATCTCTTGGTAGTTTTACCTATACTCTGCACACACTCCAACACAAATAAAGCACAAGTAGAATGTAGGGCTTTATCTCCCCGGAGAAACTGAACCTCGGTAAATCCCATGTCATTGTTACCATCGTTCCAAGATATCTAGCTTAGGATCCCATGCCTAGAATTCTGTCTGACTTAGCTCCATCACACATGTTATGCTTTCCCTCAGAAAAGCCCAAGTTGTGCTTCTCGTGAAAACAAGGTTGTGGTTCTCGTGGAAGCATTACTATGCCTTTTCTTTTTTTTGGAGAAGTATAGAATATGCTTCTGGCGGAAAGAAGGTTGTGCTTCCCGTGGAAGCAAATCTTGTGTTTCTCGTGAAAGCCTATGATGTGCTTCTCGCGGAACCAAATTTGCGCTTTCACGAGAAGCATAGTTGGGCTTCTTGTGCTTCTCGTGGAAGCACACGCTGTGCATTTCCCATTATTTTGAGAAGCACAATTATGCTTGCATAAAAACACTAAAACCTAGGGAAAGCCAAGTAAAAGTTGAAAAGCTAAACAAAACGAAAGCACTGTAGAAGACAAAAAAAAGTGTTCTTGTAGGATGCACACAATATGCGCATGTGGTGGCAACGACAAGTGCGCCCGGTACCACCCGCTAGGAGACATCTGCATGGAGGGTACTAATAACACATAAGTATAGTGGATCGCAACAGTTTTCGAGGGTAGAGTATTCAATCCAAATTTATAGATTCGACACAATGGGAGGCAAA